AATTAATTAAAAAGATGTAAGTCGCACTACTTCTTTGCCTTTTCCCTCGAATCTTTCACTTGATGACAGAAATAAATGTAAATAATCTGATAATATTTAACTTTTTTATGAAAATTATTATATAATATTCATTCAAAAAAATTTACTTTTTCATGAAGTTACAACATTCTTTGATGTACGATCGTGTTATAGCGTTTCATCGGCAATGCTTTCGGTTAACTCGTGGAAATAAAGGATCTCTTCTCAATGTGAACGTCGATTTAATGGGGATTATTTTAAATTCCGAGTCACAGAAAAATAACCGCACTAAACTCTAAATTGTTGATGTAGTCTCATACACAATTTCATTTTAAAATTCATGAAATAAAAGTAATTTTGAAATGTTCCTCCCGCTGCTCTAAAACTACATAGATGGAAAAGTTAACTTTGGCCAAAGTCTTGTTTCGTATTTTAATTGAGGACAGTTATTTTTCTATACAATGCTAATACTATAGGGGAGTAATTTATAAACAATGTCTCAGGTATTATCTCTTTATGATGCATAGACACCATACAGATTGATTACTCCGTTTCATCCTTTCCTTGTTCAGAAACACTGTTTTGAAACATCACTTCGTTTTCATGAAGTGAATAATGGTTCATTCGATTTCAAGACTTAAAAAGACTTACAGTCATATCGAAACTCTGATAATACTAATTTCAAATTCTAATAATTTCAAATTTGACTTACAGTCAAATCGAAAGTCTAATAATACTAATTTAAAACACTAATAATTTCAAATATGGCTTACAGTCATATCGAAAGCCTAATAATACTATAATTTCAAAATCTAATAATTTCAAATTTGACTTACAGTCATATCGAAAGTCTAATAATACTAATTTCAAATTCTAATAATTTCAATTTTGACTTACAGTCATATCGAAAGCCTAATAATACTATAATTTCAAATTCTAATAATTTCAAATTTGACTTACAGTCATATCGAAAGTCTAATAAAACTAATTTCAAATTCTAATAATTTCAAATATGACTCACAGTCATATCGAAACTCTATACGAACATGGCGGGCTATACGATTAACGCTTATTTTAGTGGTAGCATCGCAGCTTCAATAATATCGAATTCTGAATCCACAGTCCATCGCCCGCTAACTATCGTTCGTTCAGCAGGTTGTCTCTAGGATTTTTCTGGTCCATGCCATAAATCCTGATGTTGATGTTCAACATAAGTAAATTTCCGTGATTTTGGAGTAATATTTTAAATCGCTATCCATAAATTCAGTATCTGCTTAATTGGCCTGTCGAAATTTAATAGGAGTCTTTTGGATAGGATACGAATATCTTTAGACTCATCATGGTTCCTAATTTTGCTAGTGCAACATGATCCAACAGACATCTAATTAAGAGTAAAAAATATCTGCTGTAGACTTTAAACAGCTTTAACAAAATTCCAAAAACCGCGTTGACTTATTATTTCAGCGCGTGATCCATCTGCAATTAATGCCATAGCACTGCAAGAAGCTTGCTTTTAAACCTAAAACGGTCCAAAACTTGAGGCAAAAACTGCAAACTCAATTTTCCCTGTTTTCTGTTCTCCTATTCAAGTGATGGTTGATGAATATATCGGCAAAAAAATCAATATATATGTTTAGAATCATTTCAATCCTGTATACGCATTATCTTTTCAACTAAGTTGAGAGTTGTATATCATTAATCATGATGACATGCGATGGAACTATCATGATTACTAAACCATTTTGCAGACACCTGGGCAGCAGATTTTGCAGTTCTTGAATAACTTAAGTATACTGTAAAGCATATGAAAAAGTCTAATTATTCTACTGTAAAATTCAGTTTATATTCCTTGAAAACAGAGCAGAATATGTCTGTTAAACTTAAATAATCTTTATTAAAACTCAATGAGCAAAGTTTAAATCAATATTAATTTTTGTCAATGTGGCAGTATAGCCTTTGAACCGAAGTCAAAAAGTTTATGCTTTCAGCTTAACATTTCCTAGCGGAATGAACCGCGTCGATCGTGTAATCCACTAAGGAAAATGTCCAGAAAATATCGGTTGTCGTGGCCACCGTTCAGAATACACATTTTCGACTGAACCACGCATGTTGTGCTCAGGGTCTATGCTTTCAAAAAAAGTTAAGAGATCGGAAGTTCATCAGCCAATCATAGACGGCCTTTCAAGCCAAATCCACCAATCATCGACAAGAAAATAGAGCTTAAGTTTTTACGTTCACTTAGTGAGTTTTGAAAGTATGGCCCCTGGTCAACAATGGCAAGCCTCGAAAACTGGAGAGACAGTCGTTACGTTATTCATTATAAATTGGATCTCAAATGTTGGTAGAAACGATCAAAGTTCTGCATTTCCCACATTGTGGAGTCTATATGATACGAATAGCCCTATTAAGGGTGCTCTGTATCAAGAGCATCAATTATATATAATCTCCTCATTCCGTAATTTGTTCACGTTCCACAATAATCTACAGGAATACTTTCGCGGGTAAAGCCTCGGACCTCTTCTATAACAGAAATGCATTCAACCGTATCCGCTTTCGATGAGAAAACCATCAATATAGAGGCGACTGTTGAAATTAAACTTACTAGTTAAACTTAAAATCTCTTTATAAGTAGGCGATCGCCTACCTCGGCCAGATTTGTTAAATGAAAATAATCACAAGTAGGAACGTCCTCAAGCCAAGCCACCGAAATAACAATAAAAGCAAGCCGAGTCAAAGACGATACCACAAAATTCAACCAAAACCGAAGTCTGGTTTGTGCCATCGCGGGATAAGGAGTCTGGCAAGTCGGAAAATTCAACTGATAGCATATGTTACTAAACAAAAATGAATTCAATGTATTAAAATTCATTTCTTATAGCGGAAATTTCCTCATGAAAACGGATCATTCCGAGTTGACAGCAAACTCAGTTATTAAGATAAGAAATCTCTTCCAAAGAATTTGGAGTTTTAGGTTCATTTATACGATTCATCTAAATAAGAAATTAGATCATGAATAATAATTTTGGTTCCTGACACGACACAACATCGTTATTGTTCGTTATTGTTCTATATAATGGTATGGCGATCACAAGTGTCTTCATTTTGTAAATTTGGGCAGCTTACGTGCATTATGCCAGTGCGGATTTTCTTATATAAATACTACAAATTTTATGTATCATTTCATTTTGGTCACGAGTGACTTGTGCAATTTAACAGATACATCACTTCAATAAGTCTTTTCTCATAAAAATATCACTTTATTTGAGCAGAGTGGCCATATACCAATTCACGCGTACATTATATCAATGGGTCTTTTCGTCTAAAAATAAAACAAATTTGATTAATCACTTTATTTGAGTCAAGTGTTCTTAGATGCCACTTCACACTTAAATTCCCCACTTATGCTGTTCCACATTTTGCATGTGATATTCCAAGAGAAAATTTAGATTATTAAATGATAGGCGTCAAGTGCTTCTCTACACAACTTGGATAATTCGCCGAAGAAATGCTTGAACTTTCATAGCTGAAGATTAGGTCGACCAAGTCGACTGGGCCAAGGACAATCGAATTTTTCTAGTTTATGGTACAAATGATTATAATTTGATGAAAGACGTTGGAAGTGAATAGTTTCTAGTTATTGAAGAAAATCAATCAATAGATTGTGTCTCACGGTGTATTTTTCACCTTTAAAGTAAAGTATTAGTAAGTATTAGTAAAGTATTAGTAAAGTATATATAAAGTATAAAGTAAAGTATAAAGTAAAGTATATTAAAGTAAAGACACAAGTATTTTTCACCTTTAAGTCAAGGTACTCTGGTCGTGAGAAATTGTAATTTGTTTGTTGTTTTAGTTTTGTTCATTTCGATTTCAATTCAGAATTCACGGAAGGTAATTTTATGGAAGGTTAAGGTAAATTTTATATGGAAATTACGGTTATATGTTATTGATGTATTATAAGTTTTCCCAATGGTGCTACAAGAGTACTACGTACACCTCAATATGGATTCAAGTTGGACATTTTTTGATTGTGCATATAATGAGCAACACGTTAACAGTATTGCCAAACTGCTATATTGGTATGGGTACAATTAAATGCTGTGGCTTTATCCCTACCATCAAGGTTTTAGTTACATGGTGTGTCATTTGAGGTTATTTAGACCTTGAAAGTTCAAGCCAACATTTCTTCAGCGAATTATCAATATATTAGAAACGCATGTGACCTTCCATGCTTCACGCTCCAATATTTTTCGGGACTTGAAGCTTCTATGAAATTTATATTCGACACTAGACCATAATATTGTGATTATAATGTCACGCTGATTGCAGTGAGAAAAATTAATTTCCTTCGTAGAAACAACAGCCATTTTATTCAAAAGTTTTTTAAGGCTCATAATGATGTCTCATCACGTCTAATAACAGAAATAATCATGGCGCAATAAAGATTAGATTTTAGATTTTTAATTTTTGGGAATTATGTCACAATTTCTGCGGAAAACTAACTTTATGTGGGATTGATAATTATTTTTATACTCGCAGAAATTTGAAAATCCTGTTATTCCATATCCCTTTATTTCGAGGCTTCCTCATTTATATTTTTCAGATATATGTAACGGTAAGATTATTGCTATAATCTTATTTTATTTTTTGAAAATATATTTGATATCTTACGCTCGTTTTCTGGTGTTTTTACGCCCGTTCTAGCTGGAGCAGCAATTGCAATTTGTTGCTGCAGTAGAAAATTATCAATTCGCCGATCAGGTCATGCTGAATTTAATATTTATTTCTTCGTAACTCAAAACGGGGATGGTAAAATCATCAAGAAAATAAGTGAGCCAGTTCAGAGTATTTCTCTGAATACAATTCAAGATTAGGGTCAAGTGCCCAATAAACGCGCGCTAGAATGCATAGCATGGTTACATACGCTGAAACATTAGCTATATAAGCCGAAACATTATATAGAGGCCTCGCAGATCTGTTCCGAACATCACGGTAGCAAACTTATAGGGTTTACTACAAGAACATTCCTCAATTTCAACTCTTCGTCAGATTATTGAGATGGCAAAAAACATCATCTTCTTCTTACTTGCTGCAATGGTCGCTAATACGATTCTCGCACAGCCCCTGAAATTCGGAGATGGTCAACTCACTTTAACGGACTCTCAGGAAGATTCATCTGCCGAGTCTACAAGTCAAGAAATTTCAGGCGATCCTTCAGTTCCAACAAATGGAATCAGAAGCGAAGTGAAGACGAAAATTGGCCTAGTTCCTATTATTGAAGATGGAAACGACCAAGTTCCCAATGAGTTTCGTCCCCCAATCAACATACCCGGCCAAACAACAACAACTCTTAAACCTGTGAGAATCGACATAGTAAAGGTAGCAGAGAAGATCGGCAAAGAAGTGAGAAGATTCTGGCGCAGAGTATTCGGCTAGCTGAAGTTGGCTTGAAAAAGTAACTTGTCGCGTAAGTATCTGAAATATCGTCTGGAAAATCCAAAAATATTGCCCGTTTTTGTGTTCAAATGATTTGAGACTATACTCACAGACATATACAAAAATTTAATGAAATAATTAGTCATAAAAATTATTTGAAGTTTTTGCACAATTTTTCAGCGACTGCATGTGGACTCGGATCTCATAGTTCGCCCGGCACAGCGGAGTGGTACTTCAGTCAATGACAAGCTTACTTCATAAGTTTAAGAGAAAATTTTGAAATCTATCTTGCTTACTACCAATGTTTCTCGTTAGAATAAATAGCATACAATATAGAGTTACACAATGTGGTTGATATTGTACCTCATTGTATGCGATTGCTAATTAAACCTATATATAAATGTGTAGATATAAAGTATACATACTTTGTATCGTAGAAGAAGTGTGTGTTTAAAACTGCTGGAAATTACATACTTGTCAATTTTTCATTTTTGGCCCTGTAATTTAGCTCTCCATTTATATATAGCGATATACATAATTACAAATCAATCATGTAATTTAATTTGCACATTTTACAGTTTGCTCTGATTGACCATAATAATTCTCGGTATCCCGATAGGTTAAATGATAATGTTGACGGCAAGAAGCTAATAAATTGATTTCCGCTACCTAAAAAATTCATTTTTAAATTATGTTATTTTTAACTTGAATAAATGGTAAATTAATCCCGTGAATTTTTACCTATGTAAGTCCTACTATTTTTAATACTTAATGATGGTTTATGAGAAAAAAATTGCTTGACTGGGCAAGTCAAAAATTACCACTAATTTATATATTCATATCGATAGTTTATCTTAATTGACACTGAACAGTTCGATGTCCCTGTTTCCGGCAGATATTTTTATACTTAGGGCTACGCCTTTGATACTTCAGGGTAAAGGATCTCTGAATCGCTGCACATTTTTCAAGTAAACTTTTTCTAATCAATTATTATGGGTTTACCCACTTGATATTGTTAATCGACAATTTTTCGCGTTTTTTAGCCCCCATTGTCTGGCATTTAGGTCTTTCCCCCTGCGTAAGTTTGGCCTTTCTATTGGTGATACAGTATATTGTACAAAACTTTAGCGCGACCTTCCTTTTCAGTGGAAGGAAAATTGAATCAACAACAATTACCCAGTTAAAATTTTGAGCCGAGACCGGCGCCGGGTTTAGCCGGGCTGGTCGCGCTTTAGCAGGATGGAGCCGCGAAACTATAACCGGCCATCTATCCCTAAAACTGCGCTGCGCCATGGCTGATACAGAGACAAAATTCTAGCAGCTCGGCAGGGCCGGAACTCTGCGCTGTTTTAGCGCTGGTACTTGGGATTGCCCGGCAGGGAGCTGTACAGAGCAGATACGCAGGCCGCGCATGGGGGGACATGAAGCGACTATCGAATGACATGAAGCCAATGCAATAAGATAAATTACTAAACAAATTTAGCTCTAATACTCACATCTAACTGACGGGATCATACGAATGGCTACTTCGTTCATTTTTTAAATTAGTGCATTATGAATAATATCTATCAAGTTCAACCACAAATATAGCTAATCCTCGATTTGCTAGATGATGGCGAGTAATTTGTTCTGTATTATAGTTAAGTAGTTCACAGAGCCTAGGCTGGTAAGGTGTCCGGGCGGTCAACTGGTACAGGCGTGAACTACGACGCGGAGAATCTGCGTTCGAATCCCGGAGCTGCAGTCGACGTTTGCAGATAGTTCATAGCGGTGAGTAGTTTGATGTGTATATATCCTCGATAATTGAATTTGCTAGATTCTAAATTACGTTGCTAAAGTCAATAGGATGAGAATGTCAGTAACCAATGTCAATA